TTGTCTTTTTTATATAATTTTTATATGTTATTAATATTTAAAAAATAATTTTATAATAAAATAATAAATCATGTAACTTTTTTTTGTTAATGAAAGAATTATTTTAATATTGCCTATTAAAATTTAAAAGTAATTTTAATACAAATGTGACAGTTAAGAGATTAAATTAATATATTATCCTAAGAGAGATATATACAACAACAATTTATGAGTCAGACGGTGTTGTGACTTTTTGGTTTACGTCTTAAAACGATTTTTTTATGCTTTGAAAACAAATTGATTTGGCCTATGTTGGGATCTTTTACCTGTTACTGTGCACTAATTAGATTTCATGCCAATTAAAGACGGCAAGGGAACAAATTAGCACATTATAAAAGAAACTTTGAGTCGGATGGAAAAAGATTTAGGAAAAGAGAATCGTCATTTTTTTTTTTTTGGTATAATCTATTCAGTTGAACAGTAATAACAATAATATCCCAACTCAAAACTAATTTGTCCATACCCTAGGGGTCTGTACCTATAGATTACATACTACAGATTAATTAGAAACTGATAAATACGTAATGCCAAACTATATAACCTCAACCATACAAAACGGACAAGTCAACCAAGCATGCAAGGCCTTATCTGGGACAACCACAGTTTCTTCTGTCCCCAGGAACAACCGGCAACCGCACGGGGTTTTTCCAAATTAAACAAAACAATGAAACATTATATTATATATTCTATATATGCAAACCTCAAGGATCGGATCCAAGAGTAAACAAGTGAGTATTTGGTTTACTTTTTTTTTTTTTTTCTTTTTTCTTTTTGGAGAAATGCTTTCCTCTGTTAGTTTGTAAGGATATCTTAGTATTTTTATATCTTAAAATTATAATGAATAAAAAAATTTAAATAACATTTTTAACATTTATCTTTTATATAATTCTTGTTTTTTAAATTTTTATTCTTTTATATGTTCAAGAGAAAAAGTTTCTTGTAATTTTCCTTATATGAACCTATTTAATAACTTTCCTTACTGTGACTCTCCCTACAGCCTATATTTTCTTTATGTTGATTTCTTATCAAACATTATAAAGTTAACAACACACAGCTTAGCAGCTGTGCTAGTAGCTGACATTCGCCGGTTAAGTAATGACTTCACTTCATTTGTCATTCAACACACACCTCAGGAGGGTAATTTTGCTGTTGGTTTCTTTGCAGGAATTGGGCGTAGTTTACCAGTAGGAACCACCATTTTTTATTTTCCACCGCCTAGCCTTAATGCTTTCCTTGAAGGGGACCTATTAGGCATATCTAATTTGCGCTGCTAATTAGTTGGTTTCCCTCAGTTGTAGCAAGAAAAAATTATAAAGTTAACAACTCAACAAAATTTTAACAAAATTTCATTACAAACTTAACAACTTTCCATATAACACATTCTAATTTTTCATACTATAACCAATCAATTTATTAGGAAAAACTTTCCTATAAGGTAAGTTTGTTAAAAAAGACCATTTTATTAGGAAAGTTTTTATTGAGAAAGTGATTAAAAAAGTATTATATGAAGAATTATAAAATATTGTATAAAAAATTGTTAAGTTTTGTAACAAAATTTTATTAGGTTGTTAACTTTGTTATATATTTGATAAGAAATTGATATTAGGAAAGTTAATAGAGAAAGTGATTAGGTGAGCCTAAAATAGAGTAAAGTATAGGAAAATTTTCTTCTTTCAAAATAAATGAAAAAAAGACTTTACAAGTTGAAAATTGTATAAATGAAAATAACTACTCAAAATATCAATTTTATCTTCTTTTTATTATAGTATTAAATTAATATGTAAAAATATGTAGATTATTTTGTAAATGAAAAAGTTTCTTTCCAACTAAACACCACAACTAAAAGTTGGCTTTTAACTAGACACACCGCAAGTGTTGTATTTTAAGTTATCATAATGATTTAAGTCTAAAAACTAACATATAAAAAAATTAATATACCAAGTCAACGATGGGTATGTACTTTTAAAATTGTTTAAAAAAAAAGATTAATCTTAAATTACGTAAAAAAGATCTAAAAATATCTTAACAATAAATACAATATATATTAGTATGGATTTATTTACAGATAAATTTTAAATATTATATTTATATAAAATTTGAATAATTTATGTATTTATTTTTAATAGTAAAATTTTTTTATATTTAATAAAAATAAAATTTTTATCAAAAAAATTATAATAAATCGTAATTATTAAAAAAATAAAAAATAAATTTTTTTTTATGTAAATAGATATTTCTTATATACACACACCATGTTCTTTTAATTCTTTCTAAAAATCAACAATTCCTTTTGCTTTTATAATTTCAAATAAACAATATATATTCTAATAACCTTGCCTTTACCACTACAATTTAATGCTTTTATTCTCAGAAAATGGATGGTGGATGATAAAGATGCGTCAAAAAAAAGAAAAAAAGAAAAAAAAGGAAGCTTGTGCTGACTTTCTGTTATTGCGAGAAGGGTGGGTGGAATCTTGATAAGTAATTCGATCAGCCACTTGGACTCAACAATTTGTGGAAATGATAATGACTTCCTCTCTTTTAATAACAGATGAAAAATAGCACAAAGCTGTGGCACTGCTGCGCCCATCCCCTGTGAGGATAATGATGCATCGGAGTGTGTTATGGTAGTATTACTTAATGCGGGTCTAATCCAGGATGCCGATAAGGGGTGGTCTTCAAACTTAAAAAGTTTCGACCTTTTTTCGAGCAAGTGCAAAGGATTTTATATCCCCAAGAAAAGTATATGCTGTTCCTTTAATTAGGCCATAAAGAAAGCAATGAGTTTTTAAAATAATTTTCACTTAAATTGAGTCACATGCACTTCTTTTTCATAAAATTGTATGTAAATTAATATATTGTCACTGAAGGCGGGACTTGATTTAATGGGTAAAGTGTGATGAAAATTATAAATGTTAATAACATGAATTTAAATTCTTTTTATAACAAGTATATATTTTTTAATTTTGATTGTATAATAAGATATTATTATTTTTTATCTACTATTTCACTTTATTCGTATGTTATGCGATTCGAATTTAAAACATCTTATTTTTAACAAAAAAAGATGATAATTGAATTATTTAAATCGTTGGTTATAACAAATAATTTTAATACATAACATCCATCATGTTTAGAGATAACTAACACTGGCAAGACTGTTTGTTTTTCTTATAAGATTTTTAAAAAAATAATATCAAAATTTACATTTCATCCAAAATAATAATAGTAATATCAAAATCAACCTGTGATTTCTAAATTTGGATGCTATAGGCATATAATACTCTAATTAATCATTAACAATCCTTAAATTTTGAAAAAATGAATATTAACGATTTTTTTTCTTTTTAACAATTTAATGTGACAACTATTTCAAAAATACTATAAGTATAATATTATTTAATGTTATATGCATATAACATAATGTATTATTATATAATTAATTTGTTTTATTTAAAAATCTACTCATAATAGTGTATATATCTATTTGATTAATATCACGTTACACTTATTTAATATCATATTATAATTTTAAATAACATTATAATTATAACATTGATGTAATTATTTTATTAATTCTTTTATTTCAACCGAAATAGATGAATCATTCATTTACTTTTTATTTTTTACATAAAAAATAAACTTATCTTAAAATTTGAATTTAATATTTTAAATATAAACATTTAAACAACTTTTTTATGTCAAAAAATAAATTATACAATAAAAGATAATTTTTTTTTTTCAAACCTTCTCCTACACCTATTAGAATTCAAATTTATAATTTTTAATACAAAAATTTAAACTTTTAACTACTAACACATCCCTAGAGAGCAAATTATATTTTTAATCATTAAAAATAGTATCAATAAATATCTTTTTTGATATTTACTATTAAAGTATTTTTAATTTAACTTTCACACAATTGTGAACTAATCCTTTTCTAAATAATTTTAAGAGCATATTTTTAAATCAACTTAATACATTTAAAAATATTAATTTTTTTAAAATTTTATTTGATTAAATAATATTTATTTATTAATAAATTCAAACTTATTTACCAACAAACGTTATTGGTAAATCATTTGTCCTCAACCTGAGATGATGACGCTAACCCCCATTAAAAAGATTAATGATGCCATTTAAGATATTTTTCCTTTCCCAATTGAATTCAGTTAGTCAACAGAAAATACAGGGCCAGTCAAAAAAACAATAATAACAATGAAAAGTTCACAAACAGTAACACAGTCGGAAACAGGTGTTTTTAACCTTTTTTACCCAAATTATACGCGCAGTCCTCATTCCCGTCCCCATGGCAAAATCCATTTTAGCCTCCGGACCAGAACCGGATCGGACCAGTCTCCACTGTCCAAGGAAAGGACAACTTGGGAGTAATCCTGTAACTCGAGTCTCTGCTAATTCACCTGTTCCCCGACATCACTCCACGTGCCCCTTTACTTCTTGTTTCAGCGCTCCAAAAATTTTCAAAATGAGTTCTTTATTTTATTATTTAAATTTATTAAATTATTAAATAAAA